CAATAAAAATATAGTAATAATAAATGCATACAAAAAAAAAATGTATTTTGCCTATTAAAAAAAAAAAGAAAATTATAAACAATTAATGACTAGGTGGGTTTGTACTTGGGTCCAAAATAGACCCAAGTGGACTTAGTCTATTTTTTTAGTGCCACATAAGTTAGACTATGTCCACTTTTAATTGCATTGTGAAACATTTTTTTATAGACTATGTATATTTCTTACATGGCATGTGATTTTTTTTAAGAGACTCAAAGCATTGTAAATGCTCTTACAACATGGTTTACAACCATGTGTAATGAAGGCATTGAAAAATGTGCACTCCATTACATGTGGTTGTAAACCATGTTGTAATGGAGGGTGACTATGTAGTATCACCTATTCAAATATTATGACAGATCGACTTGGCCGACACATTTAAGAAATTGTGTTTTACTTTGTGTGTGTGTGTGTGTGTGAAGTGTTGTGTGATTGTTGTTAACTATCCTCTTGTACAAACTATTCTTCGTTGAACTAAACTTTACGACTTGGTTGCGAGAATGATCTTGCCTTTGAGACCATCTTTATTGGTGACCCATAAGTTGGGTCACCAAGAAAAAGACAAAAAAAAAAAAAAAAATGAAAATGGAGAATTTTGGGGACCCAGGTCACATTGACCTTGGGTCGCGGCCTTTCATCCCTTTTCTTTTTTTTTTTTTGATTTTTTTTATACTTTTTGGATTGTGGGAAAGAGAAATGGAACACATGTCATTTTCCATTGGTACACTATAAATTTAATATGACTAGATAAGTATAACTAAAATTAGTGATATTATATTCTATTAAAAAATAGAATAAAAAATATCAAAATTCGTATTTTTTCATACTCTATAAATAGAGACCACTCTATGTTTTGGAATACAATTGAAATTATTATGTTGGGTTGAGTTGTAAATAAAAAAATACTAAAAAATGTATTGTAGATAATATTTAATAAATAAATAAATAAAAATAAATGTAGGTTGTTAAAAGTTGTGTTGTGTAAGTGGAGGAGTAAGAAATAATTTTTTATTAATCGGTTGGGTTGAGTTGGGTTGTGGATAAATATAGTCTGGCGCTCGTATGGTCTCTAGACAAAGGAATCTATAAGAATATCGTAATTTAAATGAAATGTTCTTTATATTTTTTAGTTACCTATCATTTTAACCAAACTTCAAATTATTGTACTCACTCTATGGTTTAATTTTTTCTTTATTTATCTAAATCATTTAAGACTCAAGTACCCAAAGCCGAGACATTTAAAACACGAAATATGAAAATTATGCATATGATATTTGCTTGTGCAATTATACAAATGATCTATATGAAATTCGTATTTGATCTTTGAGTTATGGAAATATAGTTTATCTTTTTTGACATATATAATTAACTTTTATTTATAGGTTAATTTCAAATAATAATAATAATAATAATAATAATAATAATAATAATAATAATAATAATAATAATAATAATAATAATAATAATAATAATAATAATAATAATAATAATAATACGTCAATGGTAAATATTCTTCAACTTAGGTTGACTGAACTAGATGAATTGATAGACATATATTTTCAATAAGATTTTAACAATAATATTATAGTTATTTATTAATAAATAACTAATTGATTTATTCATTACAATTATGAAAATTAAATAAATTAATTATATATTATTTTACGTTTGAGGATTGATTTCACTAAGTACGGTCAACATTGAAAGCATTTAAAAGATTAATTAGAAACTACCAAATCTTGTGCATATGCACAAATTTAAATAAAATATCATAAGTCATAGATATAATATTATATTTAAGATTATAAGTTACGTAATGTGCATATCACATTTAATAATTTTAAAATTAATAGCAATATAATTATAACATAATTTATTTATATATGAATCACTACATATATTGCATAAAATGAAAAATAAAACTTTACAGAGATTGTGAACAACTAAATAATTGAAATATATTAAATTATTATTATTATTTTATTTTGTATTATTATTATTATCAACAACTATTACTTATGTGATTTTAAAAGGTTTTTTATGCCATTAAAACTATTTAGCTACCTAAAAAAAATACTTAATGAGATAAAATAAAATGATAATATCTTTTTTAAAATAAATATTTGTGTGATGTAGAAATAGTTAAATAAACTCCATATTAGTATTAATGTGGTATTGTCTCTGTTAGATTTGGTATATTATATTCAAGAAGTTAACAACATTTTACTAATAAAATATTTTTTTACTATATCTAAATCTTACATATTACTGCTATAAAACGTTAATAATACTTGAAAAAGAAAATATTTTCATATTATATATCACGACTTGATATACCATTGACTCTCGTGCATTGAACGAATATCAATTTTAATTATTAACTAAACATTAATTATAGATTAAATCACTTGCAACTCACTATAGAAACATATAAAAATAACAATTTAAAACCAATTTATTACAAGTATGTATAAAAAAGAAAAATCATAATGAAAATAAATAAATAAATAAATAAATAACAAATAAATAAATAAATAAAAATAAAAAACTTTTTCTCCTTTTACTAAAAAGTAAAAAGAAACCCAAAAGGGACACTATTCAGACGGCGTTAGGTGTCAGCAAATGTCCACGTCGTGCTTCGCGCAAAATCTTCCTTTTTTTTTTCTTTCTGACCGTCAAACGACGGCGTGTAAGGCGTTCTCTTGTCGGCCTGTCGGTGCCCATCACGGCCCGTTAATCCTGTTCGCGTGATTCACATCCTACGGCGCTGGGTTCATCCGTGTCGGCCCATAAATAAATCTCAGCCGTTGGATATTATTTGCCGATATCGTCCGTACGGTGGATGATGCTCATGCTCGATCACGCTTCCTGTGTAAAAAGCAAGTACGCTCTGTGTGTGTGAGCTAACCCTCTTTGTACCTTGAGATTCTCTCCTGTGTGTATGTATAATTAAAGGCAAAATTGCCCTTAATATCGTGATTTTTTTCGAAATTGCAATTTGATCACGATTTTTTTCGTGAATTGCTATTTACCGCCCCCTTTTTACTAATCACCGCCCCCCTCAATTACGTTTTTGCCCTTATGACTATCTCTCTACTTTCTCTCTCTACTCTTTCCCTCTCGACTTTTCACGGCTCTTTTGACCGTCAAAAAAATGTCGAAAAATCCAAAAAAAATACCATGACATCGGCAACACATTGAAGATTGACTATGTATTTTTTTTATATTTTTTCACTTTATAATAATTTTTTAAATTTTTATTTTATTTTTTTTTTTCGT